GCATCCCCGACACCCGGCGTGCCCAGAGCCCTCCGGCCCTAAGCCTGCCGCCAACTCACCCGCCCCCACCGGGCACCCCGAGCGACAGCCCCGCTCCTCCGTCGGGCCACGATCGCACCAGCCTTGGAGACCCGAGGCCCGGTCCTCCCGCGCCTCTGGGGCTGGTGGCCCCGCGGGAAGCGCGAGCACAAACTTTCCGCCGGGGGCGGAAAAGGAAGGAGGGAGGTGGGTGAGGACAGAGCCTCGGTGCCCCGAAGGGCGAGGGACGGAACCGGTGACAACCCCTGCACCTCGGTACCGATCGCGGTGTTTTCCTCGGGTGATCAGTTCCCGCTGCGGTCCCGCTCTCCAGGTGCCCGGGCAGCTCTGCGCTTCGCTCCGCGACGGCGGCGCCGTCCCCGGGCGCTCGTTAGCGGGACGGAGCGGCCGCCCCGAGCCCCGGGGACGCCCGCCCGCGGCTGATTAGGGCCTGGATAATCCCCTAACGATCTAGTTAAGGGATCGGCAGAGCTCGCAGGGGCTTTAGCTGTGCAGTGATATTTTACCGCTTTTGTCTCTGCCTCCCGATCCCCCGTGGACTCCCGGAGAAAAGAACTGCCTGCCCCCAAACCACTCCCCCACCCTCCGCCCCCGAAAGACCTGCGTATGAAGCGGAGCGCGGGCGCTAGCGGGGGCCCGGGGAGAGTGCGGGGCTGCGGTGAGGGGCAGAAAGGGCTGCCAAGGGGCAAGAGGCTGCGGAAAGGGAATTTGTCCCTGGGGAAGCCAACCGGCCATACGTAGGACGTGGCACGCGTGGGGCTGAGCGTTAGGAAGAAGTGGGGCGGGGGGGAGGTGGCGTGAGTGTAGTGTGGCTATGCAGGGTGGGCAAGGGCAGCTAGCCCGCGTCACGCGTGGAACTGGGCTCAGGGCTCCCGGCAGAGCAGTAGATGATGCCCGGTAAGTGAAGCTCGGTAAGTGAAGCCCGGAGAGTGTCGCAAGCTCTGATTTCTGAGATCCCACTCCCCAAAGCATCTCCTAAACCAGAGCCATCCCCGTCTTCTCCCCTCAGCCCCCACAAAAAGCGACCTTCTCCCACGTCATCCTTGATCTGACACCACTGTCTGCCCCCCCCCCCGCCCCCCCCCCCCCTCTGCCTCTGTCCAGGCAAGAGGGGGCATTTGGGGCACGAGGAATTTATGGAAAAGGGGGCGGAACGTGGCGGGGGTCTCGTTTTCTCTGCTCCAGTCCTCTCTCATCTCCGACCCAGCACATGCCGGGAAATTCCCCGAGCTGCTCTCGCCTCTTTGTCTGATTCAGATTAAAATATTAATTCCACCCCCTACCACCCCCGCAACCTGCCCCGTTCCTGCCTCCCCTTCCCGCCTGCCCTTTCCCGGCTCTGCTGCTGGTGCCCCCGCACCTTTCCTCCCTCCCCCCGCACCCCGCATATCATTCTGATACTCCCCAGGCTCATTGTCGCTTCTCCGAGTAGGAGGAATCTGCCCATCTCCCCTCCCCTCCGCTTTGGTTTCCTCCCAGGGGGGCCCTCTAGCCCATTCCTATTCCTCTTCTTTACACCTCCAAACCTTGGGGGGGTCCTTACTGACCCCCACAGTTCCCATCTGTGCCCCAACCTCGTCAGACACCAAGCCACCTGTCCACATGCATTTTATCAACCACTGCATCTGCCTGTTCAATCCTTCCTGGTCATCCTCTCCCCCATGTCCAGCATTTCGGAGCACCTAGGTGAAAAGTGATGGGTTTGGGAGTGTAAGGGTGTAGAATTGTTCCAAAGATCCCTTTCCTGGTGATGAAAGGAACAGCAGGGAAAGAATCCTAAGATAGGGGGTGACCAGGGGGTGCTGTGGTGGGATGGGGGCTGACACCCACTTGGCATCCTATAAATTTTAACTCTTCTCCTGTGATTGGGTCACCTGGGGAGCATTCAGCTGTCACCCCAGTTCTGCCAGGGTGGGAAATCTGTGTGCAACTAGATGCCTGTTTTTGGAAGAGGCTGGAGGCTAGAAGAAGAAGAAAAGGAGGGGGACACAACATCTTTGCTCTGAGATGTCTTGGCAGAGGCAAGTGCGAGGCTGGGTGCTGCAGGTCAGTGCTGACGAGCCTTGGCAGGCCAGCAGGGAAGCTCAGAGCGGGATGGAGCAGGAGATGCTGCGGGTTAGGACTGACTTGCCACGGAAAAACAGCACAGAAAGGGGGGAGGTGTCATCCAGCTGCCTGCTGGCACAGAGCCTTGCTCAGCCACCAGTCATGCTGCTTCCCTACCCTCTGCACCCTGAGGCAGAAGAGGGGTCTGCAAGCAAAAGATGAACCTTTCTGAGCATGTGCTGCTTCCTCCAGGTTCCCCAAGGGGCCCAGCCATGTGGATCTGTGGCTCCCTTCCTGCTAGGAGTTAGAGCAGTTGTAATTTGGGGGACACCAGAATGAGGGACTCCCATTTGAAGGTCAGCTGGTGAGTATCTCCTGCACTGCTTGTGCAGGGGACTTGGCTCTATGGAGCCAAGAGGCTTCCTTGACGACTGCTCCTTTCTGAGAGGCTCTGGCTCCCTGCATTTACTGGAGAAGACAAAAGCAGCAGCTCAAAGAGGAGAGTGGCTGTCCTGGTGTTTTTACCAGTGCTAGATGGCAGCTGGTCGTGCTTTGATTGCTAAAATGCAAAGCATTAGATGTTCATCAAACCAAGCTAACATCATGTTGGTCTCCCTAGTACATGGAAGACATGGACAAGATGGAACAAGTCCAACAGAGACCATCGAGATGGAACAAATGAGGTATGAGCAGAGGCTGAGAGAGATGGGTCAACCTAGAGAAGAGAAGGTGAAGGGGCATCTAAGTGGCTTCTTGGAGAAAAGAGGGAGCCAGCATCCTCTTTGACTGTAAGTACAGGATGAAAAGGAAATTTGTGTTAGATAGTGGGAAACTCAAAAATATTCACCATCAGAAGGGTTATACCCTGAAACAGGGACCAGAGAGGGATGGGAACTGCCATCCTTGGGGATATTCAAACCTCACCTGGATGAGACACCAAACAACTTAATTTACTGGCCATGCTGTGACAAGTTGTTGAACCAGAGACCTCCAGAAAAGTCACCCCTGACCAAAATTATTCTGTGATCCTGAAAGTCCCAGTCTGTTACAATCCAGAAGTGGCCCTAAAGGTGAAGGGAGCTGATGCCCAGAGGCCTTAGTTTCAAGAGAGTTCAGCTTTTATGGGCAAGGAGACATTATTTTTTGCAGGTGCCTGGCCCAAAGGTAGGATGTGGAGCTCTGGGGGATACTGGGAATCCATTCCACCTGAATGACTAGAAATCGCAGCCCACAGGCTCCATTCTGCAATGTGCTGAAGTTGCTCAGCATCCTTATATGCTATGACAAGGGACAGTGGTGTAAGTAGACCTTTCACACCAGATCGGATCAGACCCAGGGTACATTTGTAAGGTTTCCCTGAAGTTCCAGATGTTTTGTAGGTGGGAGTAAGCTGAGGAAGCCAAATCAAAAGCTCCTATTGATAGGATAAATTAGATTCTCTTAGCCATCTGTACATAGGAATGAATCTCCCAAACACTTCTGCCTGGGATGGATGGAGGTTGAGGCACAGGCTCAATTCAGAACAATCCTCTCTACTTTGGGGCATTTGTACAACATGTGGGGATGGGCCATCTTCATCTATGGGTGACCTAGCTCCTTTTACTCCCTATAGGACACAGAC